TGTGAAAAGCCTCCCCCTCCCCCCCCCGACCTCTTGGCCATGCTGATTTTGGATGGGTACTTGTTCCAGACTCATCTATTGAAATACTTTAAAAAGGAGTCTATGGAGAGAGGGAACATGGACATCTTAGGGGTGGGGACCATTGCCAAAGCCATGCCTGGGAGCTATAGGTAGGTGCTAACATTACAACTGGTTCTCTATCAAATGGGGGAAGAGAGGGCATGCCAAGGAAAGGTGGACATGCGTATGGGGCAGGGGTGTGTGTGGGGGGGGAAGGAATGGAAGAGAGTAGGAAAAGAGCTGCAGTGGGGAAGCACTTTGATGCCAAAGGGCATGTGACTCTCTCCCTGCTGCCTTTTGTATTCAGTTTTCCTACTTCATGTTGGGTGTCACTGACCTGGCCCATCTGGCCTGTGTTATGTGGGTCCGCCAGCAGGTCAGAACAGTCTTTGCTGTCCTTAACATCCAGGCAAGCCAGACGGTCTTGGTCCGAAGCAAGCTACAGGCGCTGTGTCTCGCAGGAGGGACTTCTCTGCCTTGACTCCTTTTCTCTTATTGCCTTCCAGTCTTGCCCCCAACTCCTGTCTGAATCTTAGCGGTTTGGAGGAAGTCCTTGTGGAACACATCGTGGCCACTGGATCCAAGGAGCAAACCCCCTGAAACTTGTCTATTTAGACCCAGATGATCTTCTCTAATCTACCAGGTGAAGCTGCTCCGATGAATCGGTCAGGAAAAGGAGTGAGTCATGGCTCTGAAATGCCTTTTACTATTCCAGGGGCACCTAGAGAGCTCCACAGAGGTAGGTGCTGTATGTGCAGCGTGAGGAAAACACACTGCTCCAAATTGCTCACAGACTCAGATCGGACAAAGGATTGAGGGGAGGGGAAAGAGAGGCAAAGAGAAGTTGAAGTGACTTGCCCAAGGTCACAGAGCAGGTCAGTGGCAGATCCAAGGATCATTTCCTGTTCTACTGACACTTAGGATAGGGTCCTATCCCCTGGTCCATGTTTCCCATAAACTAATAGCCTCCTTGCTTGAACAATCCCGCCTCTGACAGGAAAGAGCAGCCCCACACTTTCTAATTCCCCCCCCCCTTTCTCCCGGCACTTTTGGAACACTGCATATCACCTGATTTGTGCTCCATCCCCACTCCTCTCCCTCCCTCCCAGAGCTGGAATGGTGCTCTGAAAGTGCTGGGAGAGAGGAGGAGGAGTTGGAAGTACGCCCGAGTGCATGAGAGGTGCATGGGAGAGGGAGCAGGCAGGGGGTCTGCAGGCTGCAGGTGGAACCCCAGTAGGCCGTGGACTGCTGTGGCCCACTGAGATGGAGGAGGGCCACTCATGCAGCCCACTCACTAGTCTTCATTGCCCATCTCTGCCCTAGACCAAATACGATACTTCCTCCTGCAGGTGGAGTTGTGGAACAGCTCTTGAGCTGGCACACACAGGAATCAGGACTGAGGAGCAGCACCCCCATTCCGGTTGGCTACAGGGGTCATCCTGGCCACGAGGCCGTGGCTATAAAATGATCAAGACCCATTTTTTTTCCCCTTCCCCAAGAGTTTTAAAATCATCAATCCGGCCTCCCTAAAGCAATGAGATTAGCTTTAAAATCCTGAGATTTACAAAAAACCGGGGGCAAGAAGGTGTCTTTCATCTGCGTTCTGAGTTTGGACCCTTTGAGGTGCGGCCAGTTCTCACACTCAGGTTCTTTCTTGATAGCCATGAGGGCTCGACACATATTGCTGTTTTTAATGGAAGCCCAATTTCTCACCCACACACAGGCTTCCTGGAGCTGGGGCTGTAAGACCTACAGTAAATATCATGAGATTCCCAGTAAAATTGCAAAAGCTGGCAGCACTGGCGCTGAGCCCAATAAACACAGAGTTATCGTTGCAAGAGGCAGGTCACAGCAGTGCAAATCCAGAGTCTGAAATAGACACAGATGTAAAAAGTCATTAGAACCACTAGTATAGCAGTGATCAATAACCAGCCTGCAAGCCGAAACTAATTCACCAGCAAATTCACCAGGGCTAGCCCCTGGCAGGCCGCCATCCTGTATTTACCTGCACCTCAATAGGTACAGGCGCTTGTAGCGCCGGTTGTCTGTGGATTGCTGTTCCCGGCCAATGGGAGCTGCAGGAAGCAGCATGGACTGTGCTGCTGCTTCCCGCAGTTCCCATTGGCCAGGAAGGGTGATCTGCGGCCAATGGGAGCTGTCAGCGCCCGTACCTGCAGAGGGCAAACCACTGCCATCTTATTGTCCACCCCAGCACGAGAAGAGTCCAGAGAGAGGAAAAAAGACTCAAACTGAATCTTTGCAAAGCTGAGGAGAGTTGTGAACAAAGAGTCATTTCAGCGCTGATGGAAAAACAATGTCTTGGAAAAAGAGCCCAGGGGCCTGGAGTCTTTCAGCTTTTGGAGCCACTCAAGAAAGAACATTAAATAACCTGCTGAGCTGCTGAAAACCGTAGAAAACAAAGTGCTTGCTCCTGGGATCTGGGGAAGGGCCAATGCTGTAGAGGAGCGAGAGCGTGCAGAAAAATGTTTAGTTTTGGTGAAAACAGCGAAGAACGTTTGCTGAGCATAACAGAGAAGCGTGTTTCTGTTGGCCCAATGAAGAAGTGGGGGGAAAACAAAATGGCAAAGAACATCTTAAGAGCTGGAAGAGAAGTTAGAATTTCAGGACACCACCTCTGCATATTTATCAAGCAGTGGGTGTTTTCATCACATTTTATGAAGGTCATGCAGAGAGCAATAGTAAAATGTCAAAATCAACACAGCAGCCAATTTAACACTATTGCTTGGAGGGGGAAAGGGTTGGCAACTAAGTTACTGACTTACAATCTCTGGATGTCTTAGTTTTTCACACAGCTGTATGTTTGAGTATGCTCTAGGCCATGGGTTCCCAAACTGGGGGGTATGCCCCCCTGCGGGGGCTTGAAGAGATTCCAGGGGGGTGTGAGGTGATCCAGTCCCCCCAAGTTTTGCTGCTATTTTTGTTTTTCAGGCCCGATCATCCGTTCCTTTTTTTTTTTCCTCAACAAGTTTTGCTGCTATTCCGGGGGGAGGGGGGGGAGTTCTCGAAAATCAAAAAGGGGGAGTGATGCCAAAAAGTTTGGGAACCACTGGTCTAGGCAGACAGAG